CCGCGCCCGCCCCTGCCGTGTCTTTGGGGGACGCTGGGTGCACCCCCTAACCTGTGTTATGTGATGTGGGGCCTCCCTCAGGTCTGTTCCTGCCTCTTCAGAGCAGGATCCAGGCCTTGTGTGGGCTATGAGAGAGCGGAACGGCTCCGGGATGGGAGCGGGACCCGGTGGGTCGGAGCCGGGGCTGGGAGCACGACTCCTGGGTTCTCTGCCGGCTCCGGGAGGGGAGCGGGACCCGTGCACCCCCTAACCTGTGTTATGTGATGTGGGGCCTCCCTCAGGTCTGTTCCTGCCTCTTCAGAGCAGGATCCAGGCCTTGTGTGGGCTATGAGAGAGCGGAACGGCTCCGGGATGGGAGCGGGACCCGGTGGGTCGGAGCCGGGGCTGGGAGCACGACTCCTGGGTTCTCTGCCGGCTCCGGGAGGGGAGCGGGACCCGGTGGGTCGGAGCCGGGGCTGGGAGCACGACTCCTGGGTTCTCTGCCGGCTCCGGGAGGGGAGCGGGACCCGGTGGGTCGGAGCCGGGGCTGGGAGCACGACTCCTGGGTTCTCTGCCGGCTCCGGGAGGGGAGCGGGACCCGGTGGGTCGGAGCCGGGGCTGGGAGCACGACTCCTGGGTTCTCTGCCGGCTCCGGGAGGGGAGCGGGACCCGGTGGGTCGGAGCCGGGGCTGGGAGCACGACTCCTGGGTTCTCTGCCGGCTCCGGGAGGGGAGCGGGACCCGGTGGGTCGGAGCCGGGGCTGGGAGCACGACTCCTGGGTTCTCTGCCGGCTCCGGGAGGGGAGCGGGACCCGGTGGGTCGGAGCCGGGGCTGGGAGCACGACTCCTGGGTTCTCTGCCGGCTCCGGGAGGGGAGCGGGACCCGGTGGGTCGGAGCCGGGGCTGGGAGCACGACTCCTGGGTTCTCTGCCGGCTCCGGGAGGGGAGCGGGACCCGGTGGGTCGGAGCCGGGGCTGGGAGCACGACTCCTGGGTTCTCTGCCGGCTCCGGGAGGGGAGCGGGACCCGGTGGGTCGGAGCCGGGGCTGGGAGCACGACTCCTGGGTTCTCTGCCGGCTCCGGGAGGGGAGCGGGACCCGGTGGGTCGGAGCCGGGGCTGGGAGCACGACTCCTGGGTTCTCTGCCGGCTCCGGGAGGGGAGCGGGACCCGGTGGGTCGGAGCCGGGGCTGGGAGCACGACTCCTGGGTTCTCTGCCGGCTCCGGGAGGGGAGCGGGACCCGGTGGGTCGGAGCCGGGGCTGGGAGCACGACTCCTGGGTTCTCTGCCGGCTCCGGGAGGGGAGCGGGACCCGGTGGGACTGTGGCCATGCCGTCCAACGCCCGGGCTGGCAGCCTCAAGGACCCTGAGGTGGCCGAGCTCTTTTTCAAGGATGAC